CTTACAGTTTGAAATCAGGAATTAAATTTTATGGCTTAACCCTTTGCTGGATTTCTAAAGATATATTAAATATTTTTTTTTTTGCACAAGGGGTATGTTAAATTGCACAATAAATTAATAAATAAACTATTTTCTATTTTTTTTCCATAATTATTCATACTCATTATGTTTATACATTTTGTTGGTGAAAGTTTACTGTTTACACATTTCATTGTTTTTTTACACATTGCTGTAGGTACGATCCACTCTCATCTGTTGGATCTTAGCCAATCCAATGCTTTCCCATTTAAAAGTGTGCATGTGCAGCAAAATACTGCGCTGCGCCCATCAGATGTTCACTATTAACCCTGTCACTGAAGTAGCCAGTATTGGGTAAAATACGTGGTCTATTACTGCCGCAGAGTTACTTAATCTCTGCCCTCTCAGTGACGTTGTTTAAAGTGATTTAATATAATATAGTCATTAATTTCTGCTGGGGACTAGATAGAATCCATTATTACTGTGTAGCAGGTCTCCTGTTGAATCATCAAGAAACAGAGTCCATCTATCCATATACAGAGACAGCAGGCTTTGTTATTAAAAGGATTGATGAACTAATATTCCATGGAATTAATAATGCACGAACAGACTTCTTATGGAGCAAGATAAATGTACTGAACATCTTCTGCAGTTCCAAGAGACTAGGCCTTATTTTGATGGTGAAAGAAATTAGAAAACTTGAAGTAGCAGATACGTGTTTCCTATGTTTAAATCCACTGCCAAACTTAATATTGCTCGTTAATGGTATTATTCATGGTTAATATGTGTGTATCCCTCTGTATGTGCATACAAAAGATAAAGAAAGAGTATGTGTATATGTTTTCCTAAATACGATTTCTATGTTTGTGGTAAAATATGTGTGCATGGGGAGATTGTGTTAATGTGTGACTATGGTGAAATAGTATAGTTAACAATATAATTTGCGAATCATGTACATTGTTTGCGATATTGTTTTGTGTGTGGGATTCTGCATGTGCTATATCTGTGCCTACTGCTCGTGCTCTATTTTTGTGTGTATCGTATATCAAAAATGTACTTGTGATACTACAGGGCAGATTTATCAAATGGGGTATTCTAAAAAAATAGTACAAGGTACTAAAAATGGTGCAATCACCATGGGGACCGATAAAATCAGAAGACACATTCCATTGTTGACTCCTCCCCTTTTACATGTTTGCATCATTTTGCAGAACACAACACTTTGACACATTTTCCCGGTGTGTTAATGGTTGTGCACATAATTTAGTGGTCGGTGTGCATTAAACATATATTTGTGAAAAAAAGTTTGAGCGGTAGTGATATTTGCATATTTTAATGGTATTTTTTGCATAATTTCAAAGCAGATTTGTTATTCAGCACATGCATTTTAATTTTGGCATGTTGTGTTTAATCACTTTTTTTTTTTTTAATACAAACAAACCAACACAAACCACGAAGCGAACATAAAAGGCTGCTCTATACAAAGTATGCAGAACATGTGTCTATATAAGACAGAATGTACAGTGCTAGTAAATATAAAGCCCAGAGGAAGATTAAACAGTAATTATTACTGCTCTGTGATTTTGGTCCACTATGCAAAAAAGTTAAACATAAATCATGAGATGATCTATTAAATCTCGAACTATTAAATATAAATAGAGATGCATGCAAGCAATAATTCTATGATATGTCCTGCTGGGATTGTCTTGTTCACCTTGTTTATATTCTGGTAGAGATGTCATAAGAAATGAGTTTCCTTATGATATATTAGCTTACTGTGTATTCCTCAATATGCACAATTTCATTTGTATTTTCTTTAAACTTGTAGAAATGAAGTAATAATGTGGAAACTTAGTTCCACAAGAATGCCTAACTTCTGGAGAAGAAACAATCAGGGAATCCACATCTTTTTAAAGCCTCAGAAGAGTGAAACATTTTGTAGTCAACCCCTGATTGGCTCTATCAGATGTCCATGTTGTCTTGGATCCCACCATAAGTCATGGATAAGCTTCTCTCTGCATCAGGAATATGGGTTATTCATGGTTTAAGGAAACTTGCACCAGGAATACAAGTAATATTTATTATTTATCAAATATTCTCTTTATATTGCTAAAGAGACCCTATCTGTACATGGAAACAAACATAGGTTTGTTTCCAATATCTTGTTAAATTTTCTAAGATCCCTGTCAGAGTGGGTTTTTTAATAGACAATTTAGACACCTTCCTACAGATGCCCTGTCTGATAGAGTGCACATCTTGGCTTAAGGACCCCTTACTAGAAGGACAGATAATGTACTTCATTGGAAATCCATTGGTCTATATTTAGAGAGGACCATGTTATTCAGATTAAGGGATTTGGAGATCTGACCTTGTTATATAAAAGACTAAAACACTTGGCATCTCCTGGTTCATTTGTATGTAGACTCAGAGGCTAAATACTCTCTAATCCACTATGTATCAATTACTCTCAAACCCACCAAAAGGTAAAATGGAGGAATAGATTAGTTCTACTCCTTGAGCCCATACCCATTGCATTTGCCCTTCACCAGAAACACACTAGGTGAAGAAAAAAGGAAAAAAGGAGAGCTACATTTCATGGGGTGTTTTTTTTTTTTTTTATATAGTGGCCAATGTATTTTTAACCAAAGATAAAGATTATTATTGGGTGGAAAAAAATTCCTTCAATCAAAACTAATTTTATCATTGTGCATTTGTTTTTTTATCCACTACTCTAATTCTCCTCAACCTTTCAGCTGCTTTTGACACTGTTGATCATCACCAGCTTCTTCTCATCCTCCGTAATCCTGGTCTATGAGATACCGCTCTCTCCTTGTCATGCTATTGAGCAGGTCAGAGAGGAGACTTATGCCAGGGTTAACTTCAGGTAATTTATTTGTGCTCTTAGACATAGTATGAACAGGATATCCTATAATAGAAATTATAGGAAAGAGAGAGAACAAACAGAAATAAAAGGGCTTAGGTAAAATGCCCTAAATAGATTATAAACAGGAATGAAAGTAAATAATAAGAAAACCTATAGATAAAAGTATAGGTTAAAATAGAAAGACAAATAAAACAGAACAGAACAAATAGGTTACAGGAAAAGTAGAACTTTTGTTAATCAGCCCCCAATTAGGAGTATTGATCAAGCATGAAAATAACACTATATATATGATTTATTTTAGACAGACCAGATAGGAGCTATGCATGTAGGTATGGAGCAGACAAGTTGAATGGCTCAGGCTGGTAGAAATCAGGTGGGTAAGATAAAACTTATTTCAGGCTGATATTGAGCAGGGTTGGAAGTAAGCAGAATTGAGGAGTAGTTCAGGCTGGTATTGAGCATGGCTGGAAATAAGCAGGATTGAAGCAAAGAAGGTAAGTGCACAGGTTGGTTCACAGGAGCCAGGATCTGAAGTGTTTCAGGATGAGCATCAACTTCAATCTATATGGTGAGTTGGGTGTGGCCTTTTGTAGCTTAAGTAATCAAACCTAGGCAGGTAGGTTTCCAAAACTAGAGGCAAGGGAGGCCACTAGTGGTAAAATATAATCAGTGCAGGACCTTGGTTTTAAAGGAACAGAAAAAAAACTGAACAAAGAGTCTTGTTTGTCAGGATAGGATCCTGACACTCCTAGTGCTCTTCCTACCTCTTTCAGTGCTCATTCAGTGTTTCTTTCTCTGGCTCTCCCTTTTCTCCCCAATCCCTCTCTGTTGGTGTTCCCCAAGTGTCTGTCCTTGGTTCCCTATTGCCTCCTTTGGTAAACTTATCAGCTCCTTCAGCTTCCAGTATCATTTCTTTGCAGAAGAAACAAATGTATCTGTTCTCCCCTGATTTCTCACCACCCCTCTTGACCCGTATCTCTAACTGCCTCTCTGCTATTTCTGAACCTGTCCAAAACAGAACTTATGGTCTTCCCTCCCTCAAGTGTTGCTACTCCCTTGTCTGTGTCCTTCCAAGTCAATGGCACTACCATCCGCTCTAAGGCTCACTGCCTAGCTGTTCTCTTTGACTCCAACCTCTCCTTCACCCCTCATGTCCAATCAATCGCCAAATCCTGCCACCATCTCAAAAATATTGCGAGCATCCAGCCATGTGTGGGACATGGGGGACCGCCGTATGGCCAAAAACACACCCGCATGTCCCAAACCCCAGTCCCCTACCCCACCCAACCCAGGGATCCCCATAGATCATACCCAACCTGGGGGACGTTGGGGGGAGGGTGGCATAGTACATGCCCAGCTTGTGCTTTCAGGGAGCCTGTAGAAACGTGAGACTTAGATGGGTTTCAATTTTGGCATTGGTCCATGACAGGGGATAAGGAAACAGTCAATGTGATCCAAGGTCATGTGTGCAGGCTTCCTACTATTCGAGGCTGTTCAGTCCACCCCAGCATTGCTGAGGCCTAGTTGCAGTTTCCCTGATGATGTTTGCGGCCTCGGTCAGTCCAGTGGCACGGGCTGGAGGGTAGTCCAAGATCCAGCTTGGGATCGCTACATTCAGCAAGCCTGCAGCACGTAGAAAGCAGGTTGCATCATTATGCCAGCATACTATATGTCAGTAGTTGTCCACCTTGGCCTGAAGGCTGAATGGGAATCCCCATTTTTATGGTATTCTTGTAGTAAGCGGGTGAGTGGCTTCAAGACATGCTGTGCATCCAAGGTGAGAGTGGATAAGTCCTGGAATAAGGACACCAGGGTGTCCATAACATGTATGCTGTGCTGTGCTCTGGCTGCCCTTATCATAGATTTTTTAGTTTATATGATAGTAGGCAGCATATCACATCTCTGGGTTGGCTGTCCTTCTTGGAGGCCCGTAGGGTCCTGTGTGCTTTTGCAATGCCAAAATAGATGGGGATTCACCTCCGAGTAGCTGAACAGACCTGTCAGGAGCTCTTGGGGTGATTCCCCCTCTGTCTCGGGCAGGCCCCTATTATCGATGTCCTCATCTTGGCGTCAGAGGTCTAGGATAGTGTTGCCTTGCCATGTTGTAGCCAGATCGGAGGCCTGTTGGTATTGGGTCGTATGCAGTCGGTCAGCCTCCAGATCATCCACCCATTGTTCGAGCACGGAGAGGTCTCTGCGGGCTTCCGTGATTTTCTCGCAGATGATATACGGGAGTTCAGCTACCATTGTGACTTTGATTTTGCGGTTAAGCATGTTTGCGGAGATAGCTGCCAAGACTGCTGAGATCTGGGAGAGTCTCACCCCTCATGGATCTCTGAATGGAGCCCGTCATGCTCACCGAGCTGGGAGAGGAGGACGCTCATTTTGTCTGGGTCTAAGGCATTGTGGTGGCCCTGCGGTGTGGACAGAAAATCGTCCATGGGTCCATGCTGTTATCTTGTTGGGTCTACATATGCGGGTCCAAGGGTAGCTGCCCATTTAGTTTTCCCCATTTGTGCAGTAATATTTGCTATTTTTCAAAGCTTTTGCGGGTTGAAGCATTTGAGCTCGAGCCACGTGCGTCCTACTCCATCAGTAGCGTAGCCAAGCCACGCCCCCTCCTTATTGTTTTTATTTTATATCGATACTTTTTGTACTAGCACTTTTTTAGCTCTCCACATTTGGTTATATAAGATTATTATCACTTATTTACATATTTGTGTTTGTTTACTATATTTAGGTGAGTGAAATCAGGTTTTTTTTTTAGCTGCTTTTAGTTATCTATTTTTACTATTGTACATATTTTAAGCACTATTATCACACTTTGTCCTCTCTGTGAGGACACATTGTTCTGTTCACTTAAATGTGGCTGTACCTAAAAGTCCTTCACTCCAGAATACCACCACCAGAGGCGTAACTAGAAACCACAGGGCCCAGGTGCGAAAATTGCCCTGCCCCCCCACCCCCATATGTCTATCCACCGCCACCCCTCCATATATCTACCCTCCCATATGTTGACACACACACACACAAACACATATACAGATATATACACACACACACACAGACATACAGATACACATACAAAGACACACACACACAAACATACATACAGACACACATACACTGAAACATTCATACACCAACACACATACATACAAACAAACACACATATATACAAAATATTTTAGTCACCCTCATGTTTCCTACCTTTTAGATGCAGGAGGGTGACTTCCCTGGGATCCAGTGGTGGCTCAGCTTGATGGGAGTCAAAGATTCCACTCTGACTTCCTCTTCTCCTTCCTTCCGAGGGGCTCCTGGTGGTTGCTGGAAGGATGTGACCGGGGCAGTCACTTCCTCCCAGACCCTGACCTCATCAAAGGGGGCCCGGTCGCTCTGTTAAAGCGCTGCAGCGCTGACCAGGCCTCCTGGAAATCCATAGCCACAGGGTGGCCCTAACAGCATGGGCCACCCAATGGGTCCCTTAACATGTGGCCCCGGCGGTTATAGCGTGCCGCCCAGGGCCGCAACACATGACGGCGGGCACCACGGTCGCAGCGTTCCACTGAGCGGCCGTGCCCCTGGAATGAAGGGCCCAGTCGCAGCTGCGACCCCTGCGGTTCCACCACTGACCACCACTTACTTTTGTTGTGTAGTAGTGTCCAGTTAGGAACGGTCCAAACCTTCAATGACGGGCACCTTGCTAGCTGTAAGCAAAGGATAAATGAACTATCAGAGACCTCTCAACGTAAACAAAGCTTCCAGCAGATACATGAACAGATTATCTCCCTGTCTGTCACCCACTTGCTATTTTCTTCCAATTTCCTGAAACACCTGTTAATTATCCTGCCACTTTCAGCAAGCAGATGGAGCAATGAACTTTATTAAATAAACACCAGAATGACTGTACTGTCTTTCTCTGGATATAAACAGCACATTATCCTTTAGATTGCTCCTTGCAGGTAAATGTTTTCAGAGAAGTCAGTGAATGCTCACAATATGAGTGTTTACATATTGCTTCTATGAGCATGGCCCAGGGATCATAATAGATGAAACTGACTTTTACAGCATCAGAGAGTCTGTCTATCTATCCATTCATCCATATAGCTAACTATCTATCTCTTTCTCTGTCTCTTTGTGTATATAGCTCCCTGTCAGCTGTCTGTCTAAAACTATCTCTGTTTTCAGTCTATTATCTATCAAATATTTATCTATCTACAGGTACATATACATTTATTTATTTTTTAAACATAGTGCGTATCAAAAATACAAAGTGAATAAATAAAACGAAACAGGAGAAGTTTCTATAGATTAAACATAAGAATACCTTTTAATGAAAGATCACATCTAAAACAATGTATAATTACTATTCCAAAAGATATAATATAACCTCTAGATAGGGGTATAAAACACACAGCAGTGTTAATTGCTTACAAAAGTAGTAACATAGACTATAAAAACTGCAACAGTTTCAATTAATATAGAAGCAGCAGGTTGCAGCCCAAAATGGGAAGTTTAGAAAAAACACAGAGAGGGTTGAACAGCTAAATGTTGCACATGTCTGTGAAAATCTTTTAATAGAAAACACTAATAGCAAGCAATAATAGATACTAGGTGTATATCCCTCTAGAAGTAAGAATTATTTAACAATCAAATGTACAAAAAACATATACAAAAAATAAAAAGATATATAAAAAATATGCACCGAGCATAAGCAATAGATATCTAAATAACCCCACTAATATACCGCTGACACAACAAAGCAAAAAGTACCTGACCTCAGGTTGGGGGGTGGGGGAGCAGAATCGAGGAGTAACTCCAGAAGGTGAATAAACCTGATTGAGCCTCTGTGGAGATTATTGAGGAGAGGGAGTGTTGTGGAAAATAGTGCCACGGTTGGGAACTTCGCAAAAGACTGCGGCTCCTTGCTGGATACTAGCTGAATGCTCGGCATTCCAAACAGTGAAGGCAAATATGTGGCAAAAAAGGCACAGCCTTTTGTCCTTGCCATAGGACTTTATCAAGACAACGTGCAGGTGGGGGTTATTGCCTTGTAAATAGAGTTGAGCGGACACCTGGATGTTCGGGTCCGGTGGGATCGGCCGAACTTAAAAAAAAAAAAAAAAATTTGGGTTGACCCCGAACTCCATTGAAGTCAATGGGGACCCGAACTTTTGGGCATGAAAATGGCTCTAAAAAACTCCTTGAAAGGGCTAGAGGGCTGCAAAAGGAAGTAAAATGGGGGTAAGAGTAGGACAAGTGCCCTGCAAACAAATGAGGATAGGGGAATTACTTAAAAATAACATAAAATAAGCAGCAGCTTAGTAGATAACTCCCTAATTCCCACGTTATTAGGGAGCTATCTACCAAAAGGCTGAAAGACCTAAATTGGTCTTTCAGCCAAATTTACTAACACTAAGATTACTTAGTATTAGTAAATCCGGCCCTTATTCGCAAAACCGCGAGTAGGGGCGTGTCTAGTAAACACTGGCTGCTCACTGTAAAAAAACAAAACAAAAACCTTTTGCCACAACCCGTGTGCGATGGGTGGGGGCCCTAAAAGGGAATGTGGAGGGGGGGGACCTACTGTCCTTCCCCCCCAGCCCCCACCCCTGCGCGGCTGGTGGGGTCCCTAAATAACAAAGGGGGGACCTAATCTCCTCCCCCCTTGCCCCCACCCCTGTGCGGCGGGTGGTGGCCCTAAATAACAATAATGGGGGGACCTAATGTACTCCCCCGGCCCTCACCCCTGAGCGGCGGGTGGGGGCCCTAAATAAAAAAAAATATATTACCCCCCCATGTGACTAGAGGTCCCCAAATCCCTAGCCACCCCCCTCCCCCCAAAATATTACCCCTACCTACCCCCCTCATCCTAAAAATAATGAGGGGGACCCTTATCTAAACACCTGTTAAAAAAAATAGACTTACCATTTGATATCTTCCTATTAGGCTAAGAACACCCTGATTGGTGGGTTTAAGCCATCCAATCAGAGTGCTCTGACAGGTAAATGAAGAGACTGACAGAAGTCTCTACATTTACCTGTCACAGCACTCTGATTGGTTGGCTTGAATTCCAAATGAACTTTTCCACGTTGTGTAAAATGACAGAGCACTCTGATCGGTGGATTAACTAACAAATCAAAGTGTAATGAGTCAAATTACACAGCATGGGGAAATTCCAAAGAACTCTGATTAGTGGATTTCAAGCCAACCAATCAGAGTGCTGTGACAGGTAAATGTAGAGACTTCTGTCAGTCTCTTCATTTACCTGTCAAAGCACTCTGATTGGATGGCTTAAACCCACCAGAGTGCTCTGAGCCTAATTGCAGGGTGAAGCAAGGCTTTATATCCTTCCCCCACCCTTCAGAGCTAATTTTTATTTATTTTTTAAAGTGCTTTGTTATTATAGATTTTTATTTGGCCTTTTTTGGGGCTGAAAAAAGAAGGTTTTAGAAGAAAGACGACATCAAATGGTAAGTCTTTTTTTTTAGGATGGGGGGTAGGTAGGGTAATTTTATTGGCGAGAGGGGGGTGACTAGGAGTTTGGGGACCCCTAGTCACCTGGGGGGGTAAATTTTTATGTAGGGCCCCCACCCGCCGCGCAGAGGTGGGGGCCGGGAGGAGGACATTAGGTCCCCCCTTTATTGTTAATTAGGGCCCTCATCCACCGCGCAGGGTTGGTGGCTGGGGGGAGGACAGTAGGTCCCCCCACAATTTTTATTTATGGCCCCCACCCATCGCTCAGGGGTGGAGGACAGTAGGTCCCCCCCAAATTCTTATTTATCGCCCCCCCCCCAATTTTTATTTATGGCTCCCCACCCACCGCTCAGGGGTAGGGGCCAGGGGGGAGGACAGTAGGTGACCCCTTATTGTTATTTATGGCCCCCACCCACCGCATAGAGGTGGGGGCTGGGGGGGCAATAGGTCCCCCCTTTAGTTTAAAAGCCCCAATTGCACATCGCGGGTGGGGGCTCAGGAGGGGAAATTTTTTATTTTATTTTTAACAGTGAGCAGCCACAGGCTGTTTAATAGACATGCCCCTACTAGCTGGGTCAAATGCTGCACTGGCCAATCACAGCCATGCCATTAGTAGGCATGGCTGTGATGGCTTCTAAGGGCACACAAGTCAAACGCTCGTTTATTGGCTGCCCTGCGGCCTTTCAAAGCGCGTCATTAAATCGACGAACACCGAACTCCAACCCAAACATACAGTCATATGTCCGTGTTCGGGTCCGGGGTCCAAAAAACATAATGTTCACAATCAAATGGTAGGG